CCTGCCCCCATCTATTCTCTGCCTCCCAAGTGCCAGCTGATTGGCTGGGTCTTCTTTTGTTGCCCTGCACAGGAGAATGGAGCTGGAAAGTAGGTTAGTGGGGTGGGGAGGGAATGGGAACTTTGCAGTAACCTTCCCCCTGGAGTGGGGTGGGAATGGAGATTTTGCAGTATCCTTCCCCTACCACTCCCCCAAGCCATACCATGCCCCCGAAGCCATGCCCACAGAACCAGTGGTAAAAAATTTTGAATTCCACCACTGATCTACAGCATTCACTTGTTAGGAATGTAAGTCACCTAACAGTTGGGTTGGAAATATATAAACCAGGATAGACATTTAATACTGTCTCTTTAAGGGAATGCTAAAATTGTAATTGGGTGTGGTTGCTCAAATGGCCATAAGATAGAGCCAGAAACCTGGTTTGGATGTCCTGCTGTTCTGTTGTTGCTAGATGTTATGATGGTCGATGTTTTTGGTTCCTGCATTTCCCTATTGATTGTTCCTGATCGTCGTTATTCTTGATTTGATGTAAGTCTGTTACTGAACTGTTTTTGATATTGGACTTTGTTATTTGGATTATCCCTGGACTGAAAACTGACTGCTATAACCATGTAAGACTTGGACTGTTTGTTGGACTTTGCTTAACCGTTTACTTGAAGTAAACACCTACATTTTACTATACAGTGCATCTGTGTGCTGGTTGAGTGTTATTCTTCACCACTCTCACTACGTTTCCCTATGTGCACTCATTCTCCTAACGAGGAATTACCTCAACAGGACTGCGCTGGGCAGAAGACTCGCAGAGTCTATCCATGAATACCAACTAGCAGACAGAAGACATGATGAAAACTCCTTAATCACACAACACAGGGACAGATTCAACCATAGTTTCAGCTGGGGAACTGTAAGCATCCAGGGCCAAGCTAAATCCAAAAACGTAAAGGGATTCCTGGAAGCCTGGTATTTAGATAAATCAGCCATCAATAGACATGGAGAAATAAACCATTTTTAAACTCCATTCAAAGGAGACAAAAAATGCTATCTATTGATGGCAAGTATTAATAATGTCCCAGAAAACCAGTGTTGATGAAGTTTGAACTATTAAATTTTAAAAGTGCTGTGAAATGCAAAGTTTAACAGTAAGAGGATGTGAGAGGATTGATTTTTTTTTTTCAACCAGAAGATGAAGTAAGATCTTCCAAAGAGGCCACCTCTGGTTCCCTGACAAAAATAATGGCACTCAATGGCTCATCATTAGCCATACTTTTGGTGGCAGGTAAAGATCTTTTTATTTCCCTGTCTTTTAAAATTGTATTATAATTCATATTGTTTTAGATTTTTGACAACCATCAGTTTGTATGGGGCTTAATTTAGTATTTGTTTGGATTGGATATGTTTTAATTGTGTTTTATTGTATAGCACCTCAAGAACTTTAGCTATGGGTTCAAAATATAAAAACATATCCTTTTTTACTTGGAATATGTAAACATATATTTACAGTGGAGGGGTAAAGGGAAAAAAAGAACATAGAATTTGTAAGTGGATTGGTTAATAATACATAGGTTTCAACTCAGAAGCAGTATATTTCATACTGAAAAGAGACAGCACTGAACATTTAGCAGTTTTAATTTACAAATAATTTCTACTTCCTTTCTGCATTATAGAGAAATTCCTAACTTACCACAGAGAAATTCTTAATTTACCAGAAAGACTGGAAAGATGTGACTGGAGTCAACATTAAAGGAACATCACTGAAAACAAATGTTTGCTAGTTTACAGTGCATGAAAATAATCTTGTGTGATGGTCTGTGACCACTTTGGAGAGCTATTTAATTTACATTTGCTGAACTGGAATGTTCACCACCAAAAAGAAAGAGGCATTTAAACTAGCAACAAGAGTGAAAATTTCAAGTTTGTATAAATACAGGGATCTGGTACTTTGGCACTCTCTTACCTCCCTGGACTCCATAATGCACCACTGCCCATAGCACCCACTGCTCCTTCATGGTCTTCAGCAACTCTCCAGTAATGTCTGTCAGCCCACCTGGGGCCTTTGTTAGCTGTCTCATGGCTTCTGTTGACCTGCCAGCTCTCTGACTTGTTCAAAGCTTGACCTGCCAGCCCTCTGATGTGCTCTGTCCCCGATTGGCCGCCACTGACCTGCTCAATGCCTCCCCTGGATCTCCTATAGCTTCTGATGACTTATCTGATCCTCTGATGACTGTCTTACAGCCACCACCATACTGACCGTTCTTCCTAGTGCCTGTCTACTGTAACAATCTCTTTGCACTCCTTACCGAGGATTCTCACCTTTCCTCACTTAATGACCCACATAGCCTGGAGTTAAAATGGCAACCTGAACTACCAGGATTGCTTTCATTAAGCAACGTAATTGTTTAACATCACGTTTTATGACAGTATTGCTTAGCAAGAGCAATCTTGATTCGAACTGCTGTTGTAACCCAAGGACTGTCTTAATTTCAGAGGGAAAGGTAAACTATCCTATAGTGTATATTTTTATGTTCTATGGCTAGGATCTCAAAAAAAAAAAAAAGAGAAAGAGAATAGGAGCAAGCTTTTGTGTGTAAAAAAAAAGTCCCAAATACTCCATCTTTCCCCCAGTTTTTGCTGTTGATGCTGTTGTTTTCTTAGTGTTCCTAACAATCCTATGAGACAGATTCGGTTGAAAGATAATGGCTGGCTCAAAATCATTCAATTACTTTTATGGCTAAGTAGAGATTTGAAACTGAATGTCCCAGGTGGACTCCAGCATTCTATTTAGTACGGCCCATCTGGACTTAAATATCACAGTTACTGTTTAATTCAGTAATCTATTTTTCAGTTAACAGAACCAACCTAACCCCTCTATAACCTAATCCCTCTATAAAAGGATACGATTAGCTCTAACATTGGGATTTTGATTTTACTTACCTGTTCAATTTATAGCCCACCTTTCATACAGCTCAATGTTTAGACAGCACTGCCTCATCCTATTTTCCCAATAACAATCTTATAAAGGTGTATCAGGCTGAAAAAGATTGACTGCCCAAAGTTACCCAATCAACTGATGAAACTGAGACTAGGACTAAGTTTTCCCATTCCTACCCAATACTCTCTCTACGATACTATTTTGGTTTCCTGCAAGCAGCTAGTTAACAGGTAGTCCTTGACTTATGACCACAACTAAGCCCAAAATTTCCATTACTAAGTTAAACAGTTGTTAAATGAATTTTGCTCATTTTACAACCATTCTTGCCACAATTATTAAGTGAATCACTGCAGTTGTCAAGTTAGTCACATGGTTGTTAAGTAAATCTGGCTACTCCATTGATCTTGGCTTGTCAGAAAGTTACAAAAGGTGATCACATGATCTCAGGACAGTGCAACGGTCATAAATGTGAGCCAGTTGCAAAGCATCCAAATTTTGATCACATGACCATGACCAAATTTTGATCATATGACATGACTGCAATGGTTGTATGTGTGAAAAATGATAAGTCACTTTTTTTCAGTATTGTAACTTCAAATGGTCACTAAATAGCAATAGCACTTAGACTTATATACCACTTCATGTGCTTTACAGCCCTCTCTAAGTGGTTTACAGAGTCAGAATATTGCTCCCAACAGCCTGAGTCCTCATTTTACTGACCTCAGAAGGATGGAAGGCTGAGTCAACCTTGAGCCAGTGAGGATTGAACCCAGGGGTGGGATTCTACAGGTTTGCACCTATTCGTGAGAACCGGTTGTTAACATTCTAAGCAGTTTGGAGAACCGGTTGTTAGAAGAAATTACTGGCCTAATCCTGTAAGGACAGCAGGAAGGAAACATTCTGGTGTTGCTTACAGAAACTGCCTCTCCATTAACCCTTATTATGTTCTTTGCAGGACCAGACTTCCTGTCTCAGGAACTTCTCTGGAGTTTTTTTTTCCGCTCCTTTGCTGGTACTTTGCTTATGTGGAGTGACCATTCAAAATTACGATGGCACTGAAAAAACTGACTTATAATCATTTTTCACACTTATGACTATTGCAGCATCCCCACAGTCATGAGAGGCCAGGAGAGGAGATGCGTGCCTTGATATGAGTGATGTTGAGTTGGCCATGCCCAGCCAGTCACATTACCATCAAGCCATGCCTACCAATTAAGACATGCCCACAGAACCGGTTGTTAAAAAAATTGAATCCTACCCGATTGACCCCCCACAGCAGTCAACAGAATTAGCCTGCAATACTGCATTTTAACTCCTGAGCCACCACAATGAATGGTTGTAAGTGGAGGACTACCTGGAGATGCCACACTATGCTTGCCTCTCAAAGCATTTGTTGTTATTGTTTATTTTAACTGGACAACTATGGAATTAAGTTTTCATAGTTCAATAACTGCTGTGTTGCTTAGATTCTTTGTAAATAAGAGTAATTAATTGGTGGCACAAAACATTTTCTTCTTGGTTTGATATGAGAACAAAAATTGTGGGTTTTTTATAAATACAATATAATTTTATAAATGATAGATTTCATTTTGAAATTTTACACTGATATTCTTTATTTTGTTTTAAAATAAAATATTTTTATTTAAGCATTTTTATGTATACCAGTCCCCAAAGTCTGTAAATTCAGGTACTTTAAATCTCCTCTAATTTCAGCCACAAAGGAGACCAAGCAGAAACAGCTTCTAAGCTCTCAGTTTCAATGAATTTCTATATTATTAACAGAGTAGGTAACCAGTCAAACAGGTTCTTAGCCACATCCAGTTCTCTTGTTGAATTTTCACTGCCAGATAGTAATGAATAATGTACACAGTAGTATCACTTTACTTCCCAGCTGAATAGCAATATAAAGCAATTTGACTGAAAAATTCAACAACAAAGCAAGTAAGTACAGCTGATCATTGGAAACATATTTAATCTCAGCCTTAGGTGAAGGGTTTGTAGAATTAAGAGTGGTATTAAGTGTGCTTGTTTAAAGAAGAACTTGCACCAAAAAAAAAACAGGTTTTCCTACCTGTTGAAGCATCTCTTCTGTAGCATTAAGCTTCAATTGGTGCCCTTCAAGGCAAACTTCTAAGTCTCGGATTTTTTCTCCTTGGGCTTCAACCTGATCTGTGAGAACACTCACCTGTAATTTAAGGATAAGAATAATGTCAAGCGTAGCAGTAGCAACAACCATGCAAAAGCAACATCAAAATAATAATACTTTCAGCAATCTCTTTCAGATCTCTTGTTTTTGAACACAGTCTTATTATGTAAAGTTTTCCAGTTAACTTCATGTCTGAGGAAGGATTTGAATCCACCTCCCCACAGGCCTAGATCTGTACATTGTTTTCCATTTCACATGCTTCTTAACCCTTCCTGCAAATATTACAAACTGATTCACAGTTTAACTATTTTGAAAAACAATTTAATTTTCACCTTAAAAGTCACTACATTGCATCTTAAAAATGAAGCAACAGAATTTTTAATTAATGAAAAAAAGGAAAAATTATATATCAAAAATTGACCTGAAGACCATGCAATAATATTTACATTAAACACTCCTTTGAAGGAAAAAGCCTCTGTAGAAACCCTGTTAATATTTTAAGCAGGCTTTGAGCAAGCAAAGTCCTTTCAGCTTTTGCCAATTTTTCCCTTAAAAGCAGGAAAAACACAAAGCAAAAAACCTTTCAGGAAGCTAACCAATAACCATTCTTCTTACAAGAAAAGCTCACCTATCAAATAAAGCCTCTCTAACTTACTTAACGCAGTACACAAAAGACATGTCCTAGTCCTGTCAGGGTGCTAGTTCTCGCCAATTCAAAATATACAAGCTTGAACATGAATGGAGAATTTATGCAATGAAATTGCCACAAAAGAAAGAATTATTATTACGGAGAGAGATTTATAGAAAAACATTATTAAGAAATAAATAACTATCCTAAAAGAAATTAGGAAATACATACATACATACATACATACATACATACTGTATGTGGTCTGAAAATGTGGTTTATAAATAGGATTAAAATTATCATATGATAAATGGGGTTTCGCACCATTCAGATTTTTTTTAATCTTCATAAAACTTAAAATTTGTGATAAATTGATTGAAGAGCTTCATCTCCTTTGGTATTGATAAAGGAACTATTGCAGAATAATGGATCGGTGACATACTTTTTGTACCTTTGTAATAGTACATAATTATAGGTTTTCCAAAGTAATATAGATTTAAAGAGAAAGTTGTTGACTGTGAATGCCAACATTGATTACAGATTCTTTTCATAAACAGTATTTTTTCAGTTTAAGATTTTTTTCCCATTAGTGTCCTTCAGCCTTCTTTCACTCAGACCATTCACTGAGACAATGTGGAGCCTATCATCTTTGTTATGATATTGACACAACAATGTCTGTACAACTCTAAAATATAATATATTTTGCTTTGTGTCACTTGAGGAAATCTTCCTTTTGGTCTGAAAGAACATGGAAAATTTTCAGTTGCAGTCAGAATACCATCTTTTTATTACTCTATATATTGCACTATATGTACAAAAATTTAGTCATTTCACATCTGGTGAGCAAAAATGCTGCAATCGATTTTATGATAATAAAAATATTTCTGATAAGACCCCTATTAATAATAATTAGATCAATTATAAAATTTCTTGCATTAGCTTAATTGTGTAAGCTATTGCAAAATAATTGAATCAATTATTTGCCACACAAATGTACTTTTGCAAATAATGTCATATTTCTACATGGTGCCCTATTAAGGCAATGCCTCATAAAAGAAGCATTAATGACTTGCACCTGCTTTTCTGAATGCGAAATAGATACTAGAGCAGGAAATAGATATACAGCTCACAAAAATTATTCTAATTATATCATCATCTTCAATTAACTATCATGAACATTTAAGGCCAATGGAAGATAAATGACTATGGTCATGAAAATAATAGGGATGAAGAGCAAAAATTGTAGCTTTGTTTCAAGACTACCTTGTGGCAAGGTTTAGTTCTATCACAGAAGATACATTCTCCAAGAAGCAAATTTATCACCATAGAGATTTGGCCTTTTGTCTTTCTTTTGGATAACGTCTAGTTATTAACATGAATCTTTAGGGAGATGGGCAGTCTAAAAACATGACATATAAATGAAGGAAGGAAGGAAGGAAGGAAGGAAGGAAGGGAGGGAGGGAGGGAGGGAGGGAGGGAGGAAGGAAGGCTTTATATGTTTTTGGAGAAAATTAAAAAAATACTATTGCTTACTTCCCAAGCTTGGAAACAACTATATATATCTTTTCTATCCAGATAAGACAGAAAATAAACATGTTTTCTTTTCTGACCTTTGAAGCTCTTAATGGCATAGCTTCAGGTACCTGATGAATTGCCCAATCGAACTAGGACAAGACCATCTTAGTTATGCTGACAGAGAGCACTTATTTTGGACTTTGTTGGTCAAAGAACTCTGGGGGAAGGATAAGACATCACCTAGCTCCTGTCTACAGCATATTTATTTCAACAGTTCCAAGAAGATTCTATCCCCATTTGCACTCTGATATAGGTGACTCTGAAAGCACAGATAAACCAAATGGTGTCAACAGCTTTCAGAAAGAGTGCTAATGACCAGATGACTGCAAAGAAATATAATCCTCCCATCCTCCCCACCTCTTCTGTCAGAATTATTCCTTCCATTGCCCCCACCATCCTGCCAGAACCAATGAAGCTTCTTGGATGAGAACAGAAATTTCTTCCTCAAGGAAAAACAACAAACAGTCCAACTGCCTTTTAAAAACACACTTTGGGACAACTCTATCAGGATCCAGAAGAAGAGGCTTCTCTGCTGTATCACCTGCCCTTTGGAACATCTTACCTTCTAAGATATCCTCAACCTCCTATCCTTTCCCAAGAGACTGAAGACCTGATTCTGCTGGTTGGCCTGGGGACCAAATGGAGGAGTTCCACATTGGAAATAGCTGCTGGATTGATGGCAGACTCCACTCCCCAACCCCTGCTCTCCACTCTCCATCTGTCCACATTTTTGATTTTCATATTGATGTATGCTCATTTGTTCTTATTCATTGCCTATTTCATTGTTCTATTATTTTACTTCTTTTTATACTCTTTTTATTTCTTCCTTTTTGTTGTAAGCTGCATAGAGTAGCCCCACAGCAAGATAGGTGGCAAATAAATTTAACACACAAACAAATGAAGAAAAATGAAGGAAAACACATAGCACCCTAATTGGAACTTTTTGTCTGTATGTTTGTTTTATACCATAGCTGTTTGATAAGGCTTATTTTCCTATTTGATGGGAAAAAATATTAGCATTGACCTGATCTAGGACACATGTTCTTGGTAGTCACAAAAAGAAGAGGCTTATGTTAATTTGAAACAAACAAGCAAAAAACAGACAACCAAGAGATTGCCAAGGGATTCAAGAGGCCAGGCATAGTGAAGAATATTGAACTTTTCAATAGATTCCATAAACTACTTTCATAAATCATTTCAGGACTTTATTGATAGTCAATGCCCAGTAGATGCCAGGATTTGATGGTTTGTGTGTTTGCTTATTTTTCCATTACTAATTTGTAAAATGCCATGGGAGTACCTTGGGAAGAATGCTCCTAGGACTGGCATGGGAAACAGCCATTCATTTCCCAGGGTTGGTAGCACACCAATACAAGCAGTGCACTCATTTTGGTAAATAGACAATCCAACCAGGTCATTTGCCTCTCACACCCTTGTAACTATAGTGTAGTAGACTAATCCACCATTATAGCAGAAATCCAGCAGACAGAAAACTGAAGTTCTCCTTTAGCAATGATAAGCTTAGGCAAGATGAATTAGTATGGAAGATTTTAATGTAATAGACTGACTTTACACAAGGACACAAAAGACTGCACTGATAACAGAACTTACATTGACTTGTACATGTGTATGCCTCTTAAAATTATTTTAAGTTGTTCTAAAAAGAATGGAGTGGTTTAATCATTCTACAAGCCTAAACTTCTTTCCTATGTAGCAGCTAGGTGATTCATCTTCTGTAAAAAGCAGGACATACTGTGTATCTGAAGAAAATGAATATGAAATTATTTTTGACGCCATCATGACTATTAAATGAATCAATGTATTTCATACTTTTTAACAAGAGGTGGCTGCATCTAGCTGATATTAGCTAATCTCCCAAAAGCAGGAGTGGATCTGGTCAGTACCTGGATGGGGAAAAATTGGGAAATCCCAAGGTTGGAGGAAATTGGAAAGTTTACAAAAGTTCTGGAAGAAGCAGTGGTAAATTACTTCCAAATTATTGTCAAGAAAATCCCATGGCTGTATCTCTCTAATTACTAGGAGGAAGACGTTGTTATGACACCACCAATGCAAGGTTATGTAAATATCATACCTGCAATATAAGAGATTCTTTATCACCTTCTAATCTTGTCAGACGTTCTTGATACGTCTCATTACTGGTCGAAGTATGATGATTCACCTGGGACTGAAAAGAAAAATAAGTTTACAACACAAGTAACAGAAACATATTTATTATATGTAATTAATCTAGTTATTCTATTTTTAATAAATATAATAGTTGTGTAAAGCTAGATCTTCCCATTAGTAGAAACTAGAGAGAGTGTGTGGTGTAGAAAGGATGCAACAAGGCTTTCTTTGTGTGTGCAGTTATTTTATCTTATTCACAGAGTATTATATAGGATCCAAATAAGTACACATCTGACTAGATTAGCCATAGGAAGGACATGGAGAAAAGCTGTGTGAATACAGTTAAAACAAGCTCAGGTCATTCTTAAGATTTAGCTGTTGATGGAACACCCAAGTCAAGAAATAACTCGTGCCTGAACCAGAGGGTTGTTAGTTACACCTTTCAGTAAAAAAGATTAACTTGCTTTAAAATAAGCCGGGAATGGGTGGGAACAAAGAATACAAGGTGTGTTCTGTTAATGAAAGGAAGTTTGAATCATCACATTTCTCCTTCAAAACACAGGCAAACTTAAGCAAAATGTAGTTATTAGGAGTATTTTTGTTATTCTATCTGCTATTATCAACTTGGTTGTCATGAACAGAGGTAGGAATAATGGTCATTAATTTACAGGTAGTCCTCACCTACAACCCCAATTGAGCCTGAAATTTCAGTTGCTAAGTGGGACGTCCATTAAGTGAGTTTTGCCCCATTTTACGACTTTTGTTGCCACAGTTATTAAGTTAATCACTCAGTTGTTAAATTAGTAACCCATTGGTTAAGTGAATCTGGATTCCCCATTGACTTTGCTCGTCAGAAAGTCAGGATTATTTATTGCACAATTCTTGATCAGATTTCTTCATGCCCATGTTTTCTGTCTCTTTTTTTTTCCAAACATAAATGTAATTCTTTCTAAACACGATGAACAGATCACTATACAATGTTTCAGATGCAGCCTTTCCATAGATTTATGTAGTGCTATTACAATACCATGGTTTGATTTTCAATCCTTTTAAAAAAATGTTCATTCAGTCTTCACAAGCTTTACAAATAGCATTGGGAACAGGAAAACATCTGTGTACACTCAGTTGAAAGTAGAGTCTATGAAAATTAAAATATCTTACTATCAAGAAAAATGCTCTATAATGTTTTCAAATTTCTAATTTCAAGTCAGCTAGAAGCTTGACTATTTATTGAGCTTTATAATAAATCAGAAAAATCATAATTAACCAAGCCTAAGAGATTAAATTCTTTATAATGAACAGGCACATGTAGTAACTAGAAAAACAGGTGCATTTTGAATGCTGCAATACATTTTCCCTAGCTCATTTTGTTCTGGAAAAAAATCATTCTACATTAAACCATAAATAGATAAAGTATTATGATGCTTCCTACTCTCATTTAAGCTTCAAAATATCCCAGCCTAAAACTACATTAGCTAACATCCACATGAGATGAAGTAATCAGGGAGAAAAACATCAGCTCTGCCAAAGCATCAGCTACTACCCGGCCTTAATAAAAATAGACAAACATAGTCCAGACAAGTTCATCTATTAAGTAAACAGCTGTTTCAGTCTTAAAAGTATGCAAGTGTCTATAGTTAATGACAAGATAATAGCACACCCCAAAGGTGTATGTGTGCAGATGAAGCTTGAAGCAAACAGTCATGATTACACAAGAAAAAATATCTTATGACCAATCAACTAGTGTTAAGATAATTATGATTTTTTTGCAGCATCTGGTTGTTACATGTTCATGTTTTAAGTGCTGGTAACTGTTTACTGGTTATATTTAAAAGAATGTTATATTCTTGAGAGTAGGCATCTTTTTTGACCTATTTCCAAACTAACTGAAAAACCTTCCCAGAGGACTACAGAATTGCAGGAAGTTCAGAAGAGAGAGGGAAAACAGCTGGAATTGTCATTCCAGGCTCATAATACAGAATTGGAATAAGGGTTACATCAGAAGAAAATTTAGAATGGAGAGATATCATATCAATCACATTCCAGAGACCTCTATGATTATTTGGAGGTTTAGTGGCATAAGTTTCCTTTATACATAGAATACTGGATATCTGCTATACTATCTAAAATATTGGTACATGGAACTTTCAATCTGACAGTCATGTCTTTCTCTCTAAGTTGCTTAATGGTAAAGTCTTTCAAAGGGCCTCTGAAATATTGAGAGCATATATATCCCTTCCAATAACTTTATGAGATATATTCGGGTGAGAGAAATGATCATGCTGTGCACTTGATAGTTGAATTTCTGAATCTGAACCAAAATCCACTCAAGACTGGTCCAACACTAACCATAACATCTCACTAGCTATCCTCCTTGATAACATCATGCCTACACACTGATACAGAGCAGTAGAAATCCATGCCCTAGAATAGTGGTTCCCAAAGTGGGCAGTACCGCCCCCTGGGGGGCAGTGGAATGCCTTGGGGGGTGCTAAGAGGCAAGGAGGATGGCAGGGGGGCACTAAGAGGCGGCAGGGGGGCGTTCGAGGTGCCGGTCCTACAGGTTCACCCATTGACTAGCACCGCTCTGGAGCTGGTGCCTCCAACGTGGAAGCAGTAGCATGTTACGTGTCGCCACAGCCGTGTTTGATGCGCCGCCCCCCTGCCGCCTTAGCACCCCTCTGCTAGACCCCTTGGGGACACTAAGAGGTGGCAGGGGGGTGTTCAAGGTGCGGCCCCTGCAGGTTCACCCATTGACTAGCGCTGCTCCAGAGCTGGTGCCTCCAACGTGGAAGCGGTGGCATGTTATGTGTCGCTGCAGCCGTGTTCGATAAGCCACCCTCTGCCATCTCTTAGCGCTCCTCTGCTAGCCCCCTTGGGGACACTAAGAGGTGGCAAGGGGGCATTCGAGATGCTGGCCCTGCAGGTTCACCCATTAAGGTGCTGGCTCCGGAGTCAATGTTTCCTGACGTGCCTGAGGGGGGTGGCACCTCGAATGCAGTGGCAGTGGCACGGCTTAGCTCTACTTTTCCAAGGCTGCACTGCTGCCTGCCCTGGGTTTCCTCAACCCTGCCCTGTATTGGCTCCAGGAAGCAGCCCTCTACATGAGTGCCCCAGGAGGGGGGGGCACTTGGGAGGCTGATCCCTGGTGGTAGGGGCAGCCTGTGAACTTGCTGTCAGGCACGGCAACTACAAAGAGGAGCGGGCTTGGTTGAGCGGGATCCTGGATATTGGGCATGTGGTCAAAGCCTTCCTACCTATCTACCAATCTATCCATCCATCCATCCATCCATCAATCTATCCATCTATCAATCTACCTACCTATCCATCCATCCATCCATCTATTTTCCTACCTACCTATCTACCAATATATCTACCATTATATCTATCAACATATCTATCTATCTATCTATCTATCTATCTATCTATCTATCTATCTATCTATCTATCTATCTATCTATCATCTATCTATCTATCTATCTACCTACCTACCTACCTACCTACCTTCCTACCTACCAATCTATCTACCAATCTACCTACCTATATATCCATGCATCCAAAATGTCTGTCTGTCTGTCTGTCTTCCTGCCTACTTGCCTTCCTGCCTACCTACCTGTCTCTCTCTATCCACCCATCCACCCATGTTTGAGGTGCCAGCTCCACAAGCATATCAGGAAAGTAGAGCAAAGCCAGTCTAGGAAAGAGAGAGAGAGAGAGAGACCTGATGCATCAGATTGAAATGAGGCCTAGTTTAGCCTGAGGCCCTTTTCCACATTGAAACATCTTTGCCAGCACATTGAAACATCTTTGGCTTCTATTAAAGGTTTTGTGGACGAAACATGGTCAAGACTATCAGGAAGCTCTCACATCTTGTTGAGGCTTTAAACAGGATCCTTTGGACCAGACCTCCACCCTAAAAAATTACTTTTCCCCAATGAATTATAGTGCCAATTCTGAAGAAGGCAAAACCAAAATGTACTGGTAAATTGCAAGAACACGCACATACACACTCCATTCTAACCCTACTGGAGGAGGTGATTGGACTAGAATAGATATTTCATTATCTTTCTCCTCTATCCCTCCTTTTTTATTTCATTTTCTTTCTGTCCCTTCCTTCCACCACCACCCCTCTTTCTTTGTCCCTTTTTCTTTCTTTCCCTTTTCTCTTTCTTTTCTTCCTTCTCTCTTTCTCTCTCTCTTTTTCTCTCTCTCTCTTTCCCTCTCTCAGGCTCACCCCATTGACTTGGTGCACTGTTCCGCTCGGGCTTGCTTGGGCAGGTCCCTCCAGTGCAGCGGGCTCAATGGGGTGGACCTGCGGGGCCGGCACCTAGAACATGGCAGTGCCGGCATGTTTGAAAAGTCGAGCAAAGCCAGAGGTCGGTAATTTTTGCAAAGAATAACAAAAGCTTCTGGGCTGTGCACAAGAAGGGACACACATGTCAATGCAATACAGCAACATAAAATAAAAAAATACAAATAAAACAAATCAACCAAGAATCAGCAAAGCATCTCTGATTAGATTCTATTCACTACTAGAATCTAACCAGAGATGCTTTGCTGATTCTAGTCCAATGACCTGCTCCAGCAGGGTTAGAAGGGAGTGTGTGTGTATGTGTGTGCATGGCTGTCAAAACTCCAAAAACAGGTCAAGTAGCTCTGGGGAGGCTGCAGTCACCAAAGCAGGCCCACCCAGTCACATGCCCACCAAACCACACCTACCCGGTCATGTGACCAGCAAGCCACACCCTCAAATTAGGCCACACCCACAGAAATTTGAATCCCACCCATGGGTGGGGGGCACCGAGGATGAGTTTGTAGCACCAAGGGAACAGTGGACTGAAAAAGTTTGGGAACCACTACCCTAGAACAAGGCTGTTAAACTCAAGACCAGCAGGCCAGATTCAGCCTGTGCATTGCTTAGATCTGGCCTGCAGTGCCACCCTGGAAACAGTGAAGGACCGGCCTGCAGTGCTTCTGCCAGTGAAAGCAGAGCTTGGGATGGCCTGCCCTTCCCAAGCTCCGTTTTCACTGGCAGAGGGTTGCAGGAGGCCATCACAG